CTCTCGTCCCTCCTTCCTCAATCCCGCTTTTAAATGCAGCTATTTCTGATTACTACGAAAATCCCATGTTTTTTGCATTCCTCTTTTACCAAGACCAAGAGTGCCGGAGTCTGTCAGTATGGGTATCCCCTGTTACCGATATTACTAGAATGCGGCCACACGCCGAGCGCAGCTATGCCAAGTCTTTCGATCCTGGACTGCATTCCTCCAGTTAGTACCCACTGTCTGTTCTTGTGTGTATGTGCGCCACCTCTTTGAGGTTCGGCTGAGTGATCGCTCACTTTCCCGTGGGCACCACTCACTAATGCGCATCGTCCATCGGTTGTCGATAAAACGAGCTACATATGCTGCGCATCGTCGGATTTTACTTTCTCGCATGGTCGCAATGATATCCTGAACGCCGTTCGTCTGACGGAGAGTCTGATTGTTTATATGGTCCTGGAGGGATAACCCTCTATTACTTTTTATGCGTTTTGTGCTGTGTAGCAGGTGTACAGAACATATATTATCACGGGATTGTGTGCGTGAAGTATTGTAATTTTAATTTTAGATGATGTGTGTTTATGTAAAAAGTAAGGGTTTGAAAGTAAGGGAATAAAAAGGAATGTGAATAAGTTAAATCGGAATAAAAACCTGAATAGGATGAAAGCTAGAAAACCGTAGCCTATGGATACAGGCGCTGTCTTGTTTTATTCATTTAGCTTATATTACAGGCTTTTTTTCTCAGTAGATTAGTCCTTGGAATAACTGGAACAGCTGTTAGTTTACAGTTCTTTGCATTATACATGATCACTTCACATGTCAAAAAGTTTTTACCACATTATCTTCACAACTATCTTCCCTACTATCCAACAGTAAATTTCATCTTTTCTGACTGAAATCGCAAGGTATTCGAGCTATGCTGGATTTACTTCGATTAGCATGGTCCACTGCTTCACAAGATAAGCTTCGGCCCACTTACAGCCACAAAATACCATTTCACAGTTCCGACCTTGTCAACCTTGCCCAGTAGGACCAGTTTTGGCTGCGCTTCTGTCGCCGTTCCTTTCCATTCTGTTTAAAGTTAAGGTAAATAATTGGCCAACGCACGGGCTGCCCGTGCGAAGATGCGTTTTTTGCGCAGTTCCCTGCAGATTTTTGTCGCTAACGGCACCGGTTTTTCTGGCAGATGCTTCTAGCTAAAAGAATTTCAGACTGGGCGCCAGCGCTGTCAGGAAAAATCCCTTCAAAATCCCAGTCTTCTAGCTTCTCACTTTCCCGAGTTAGCAACTTACCCAGAAGAAACTTTCAAGGGTTCGCGGGTACCACGCGGGTGTTGGCGCCCATTTTGGGGTTTGGG